TCGAGATCGCATCAGCAAAAAATTACAAAAAACAAACATTCACAGATCAAGTAACGGGACAAAACTTTTCGACGGTTATAAACAAAAAATCACGATTTAATAGTTATTTTAACTCCGATTTTGATGATTTTTTACAGCTACACTCCTTGACCCTATATGAATACAATGAATGAATTCGATCTTCAATTTAAAATATTTACACAAGTGGATACCACAAAATCTTATGTTATACTTGATGAAAGTAAGAATAAACTCTTAAGTGTTAGTGAATCTATTGTTTTGATGGGATACGCATTCTACGAATGATCCAACCGTCAAACATGTTTGTATATACTTCGAGATCGCATACGCCAAAAATTGCAAAAAACAAACATTCAGAGATCAAGTAACGAGACAAAACCTTTCGACGGTTATAAACGAAAAATCACGATTTAACGGTTATTTTAACTCCAATTTTGATACTTTTTTACAGCTACACTCCTTGACCCTATATGAATACAATGAATGAATTCGATCTTCAATTTAAAATATTTACACTAGTGGATACCACAAAATTTTATGTTATATTTAATGAAAATATGAATAAACTTTTAAGTGTTACTGAATTTATTGTTTTGATGAGATACGCATTTTACGAAACTAGTTTCAACGATCCAACCGTCAAACTTGTTTGTATATGCTTCGAGATCGCACACGCCAAAAATTGCAAAAAACAAACATTCAGAAATCAAATAACGAGACAAAAAATTTCGACGGTTATAAACGAAAAATCACGATTTAATGGTTATTTTAATTCTGATTTTGATGATTTTTTACATTTACACTCCTTGACCCTATATGAATACAATGAATGAATTCGATCTTCAATTTAAAATATTTACACTAGTGGATACCACAAAATCTTATGTTATACTTGATGAAATTATGAATAAACTCGTAAGTGTTAGTGAATCTATTGTTTTGATGGGATACGCATTCTACGAAACTAGTTTCAACGATCCAACCGTCAAACATGTTTGTATATACTTCGAGATCGCATACGCCAAAAATTGCAAAAAACAAACATTCAGAGATAGAGTAACAGGACAAAACTTTTTGACGGTTATAAACGAAAAATCACGATTTAACGGTTATTTTAACTCCGATTTTGATAATTTTTTACAGCTACACTCCTTGACCCTATATGAATACAATGAATGAATTCGATCTTCAATTTAAAATATTTACACTAGTGGATACCACAAAATCTTATGTTATACTTAATGAAAATATTAATAAACTTTCAAGTGTTAGTGAATATATTGTTTTGATGAGATACGCATTTTGCGAAACTAGTTTCAACGATCCAACCGTTAAACTTCTTTGTATATGCTTCGAGATCGCATATGCCAAAAATTGCAAAAAAAAAACATTCAGGGATCAAGTAACGGGACAAAACTTTTCGACGGTTATAAATGAAAAATCACGATTTAACGGTTATTTTAACTCCGATTTTGATCATTTATTACAGCTACACTCCTTGACCCTATATAAATACAATAAATGAATTGGATCTTCAATTTAAAATATTTACACAAGTGGATACCACAAAATCTTATGTTATACGTAATGAAAATATTAATAAACTCTTAAGTGTTAGTGAATATATTGTTTTGATGAGATACGCATTTTGCGAAACTAGTTTCAACGATCCAACCATCAAACTTGTTTGTATATGCTTTGAGATCGCATATGCCAAAACTTGCAAAAAACAAACATTCAGAGATCAAGTAACGAGACAAAACTTTTCGACGGTTATAAACAAAAAATCACGATTTAACGGTTATTTTAACTCCGATTTTGATGATTTTTTACAGCTACACTCCTTAACCCTATATAAATACAATGAATGAATTCGATCTTCAATTTAAAATATTTACACTAGTGGATACCACAAAATCTTATGTTATACTTAATGAAAGTATAAATAAAATCTTTAAATGTTAGTGAATCTATTGTTTTGATGGGATGCACATTCTACGAAACTAGTTTCGACGATCCAACCGTCAAACTTGTTTGTATATGCTTTGAGATCGCATATGCCAAAAATTGAAAAAAACAAATATTCAAAGATCATGTAACGGGACAAAACTTTTCGACGGTTATAAACGAAAAATCACGATTTAACGGTTATTTTAACTCCGATTTTGATGATTTTTTACAGCTATATTCCTTGACCCTATATAAATACAATGAATGAAGTCGATCTTCAATTTAAAATATTTACACTAGTGGATACCACAAAATCTTATGTTATACTTGATTAAAGTATGAATAAAATCTTTAAATGTTAGTGAATCTATTGTTTTGATGGGATACATATTCTACGAAACTAATTTCGACTATCCAACCGTCAAACATATTTGTATATACTTCGAGATTGTATATGCCAAAAATTGTAAAAAAAAAACATTCAGAGATCAAGTAACGAGACAAAACGTTTCGATGGTTATAAACGAAAAATCACGATTTAACGGTTATTTTAACTCCGATTTTGATAATTTTTTACAGCTACACTCCTTGACCCTATATGAATACAATGAATGAATTCGATCTTCAATTTAAAATATTTACACTAGATGAAAGTATGAATAAAATCTTTAAATGTTAGTGAATCTATTGTTTTGATGGGATACGCATTCTACGAAACTAGTTTCGACGATCCAACCGTCAAACATGTTTGTATATACTTCGAGATTGTATATGCAAAAAATTGCAAAAAATAAAGATTCAGAGATCAAGTAACGCGACAAAACTTTTCGACGGTTAAAAACGAAAAATCACGATTTAACGGTTATTTTAACTCTGATTTTGATAATTTTTTACAGCTACACTCCTTGACCCTATATGAATACAATGAATGAATTCGATATTCAATTTAAAATATTTACACTAATTTTATGTTATACTTAATGAAAATATTAATAAACTCTTTAAGTGTTAGTGAATATATTGTTTTGATGAGATACGCATTTTGCAAAACTAATTTCAACGATCCAACCGTCAAACTTGTTTGTATATGCTTTGAGATCGCATATGCCAAAAATTGCAAAAAACAAACATTCAGAGATCAAGTAACGAGACAAAACTTTTCCACGGTTATAAACAAAAAATCACGATTTAACGGTTATTTTAACTCCGATTTTGATGATTTTTTACAGCTACACTCCTTGACCCTATATAAATACAGTGAATGAATTTGATTTTCAATTTAAAATATTTACACTAGTGGAAAATCTTATGTTATACTTGATGAAAGTGTGAATAAAATCTTTAAATGTTAGTGAATCTATTGTTTTGATGAGATATGCATTCTACGAAACTAGTTTCAACGATCTAACTGTCATACTTGTTTGTACGCCAAAAAATTGCAAAAAACAAACATTTAAAGATTAAGTAACGGGACAAAACTTTTCGACGGTTATAAACGAAAAATCACAATTTAACGGTTATTTTAACTCCGATTTTGATGATTTTTTTACAACTACACTCCTTGACCCTATATGAATACAATGAATGAATTCGATCTTCAATTTAAAATATTTACACTAGTGGATACCACAAAATCTTATGTTATACTTAATGAAAGTACGAATAAACACTCTAGTGGGTCACTTTCATTAAGTTTTGAGTTCCATTGGCAAGGTTTAAACTTTTGAGAAAGGCTTCACAACCTTGAAAACAAAAACGGTTTCATTTGTCATATCCTTGCACATTTAATATTTGTAATAGATTAGTAGTGTATGGATGTATTTTTCATGAGGCTCTTATTTTCGAGTGTAGATGTAGTCCTTAAACGACAAATGTGTTTTAATATTTTGAAGTATTATTTATGTGACAATGTGTGGTATGTGCAAATTTAAGAAATTTGTTTTTTAATGGGTCATAACGGGTCGGGTCACTTTACCCGTTAAGGACCCGTTAAGATAACAGGTGTGACACGACACGACCCGTTACACGAACACGACTGACACGACCCGTTTGTCAGGCCTAGTTGGGGGGTGGGGGATGGGGGTAAGCTTTCTGGGTTTGTTTGTGGGGGTGGGAGGTTGCGAGAGGTGGTTTTTAGTTTTTTTTTTTTTTAGTTTTTTTTTAAAGAAGATTCAGGTAGTTTTTTTTATAATTAAAAAAAATTTCCATGTGGTGTGCCACGTCAAAACTTACCGAATCAATAGATGAAAAATGTAACGAATGTATTATATTGAAATAAAATAGTACGTAAGATATGAAAGTAAAATGTTTTAAAGATGTTGTATGAGGTTGTAAAATCTAAGGAGCTACTATGTAATTTACCCTATAAATTATTGTTTTATTATTATTTTTATATAAATAAGACATTTTTCCAAGAAGGCCATGTGCATAAGCCCAATATTTTTCTTCACTTCTCTCCCCCTCCTTTGTTGTTTTATCACTTTTCTCTCCCTACATTATTTTTTTCCATTCTTTTCTAGTATATTATGCATTATGTACATTTTAGTTTTAGTTTAAGATCTACACTTTGGTCTTGATATGAGTCTTTTTATCTTTTGATTTATATTTATATGCACATTTTCTATCTTCCGGTCACAAATCTTGTAGATCAAGTAGTGGAAACTCAGATTTACTTGAATTTGTGGTTGAAATGTGTTTGGTATTAGAAGTAGAAAATTAGAAAAAAAAACATATATATAATTTTGGTTAGAACCGTAAACCGGTATGAACCGAACCATACAATTTTAGTAATAAATTTAAACGGAACTACACCGAACCAAATCGATGAAATTTTTCGATTCTAGTTTTATTTTGAGGATGGAATCGGGCTGAACCGGACCATGCCCACCATTAATTGTGATCAATCTGTGGTGACGATATCTGTAGGCAAAATAAGGAAGAGAAATGCTAATATCTACCACCTGTGTGGTTCATCAATCATCACTCGTAACATGTCGTAACATTCTTTCTTTTTCAAAAGAGCACATCAATCTTCTTAAAATCTGACATTGAACTGCAGTTCCAAAATAAGCTGCCATTGAGTTTATTGAAAAATCATGTATAACAAGCATCACGTAGACTAAAGAGAAAATAAAACAAACATCTGCAGCGTGTAAGTGGGTGTTATTGTGTAAGTGCGGGTGGTACAATTGCTGAGCATGAAATGGCCCTTGCCATTCACTTAATTCTATGCAAATGGCTCTTGCCAGACCAACTTATGAGCATAAAATTCATGGCTTGCCGTTATGCTCTCTAAGTTCATAGCTTCCATCTTGCTGCAAGCTCATATCAAAAACTTCAGATCCTGAATCATTTCGCTTACTACTCCGAGTCTTTCTTGTTGGACTCTGCCCTCTCCGTTTCCTATCAGAACCAGCTTCTGCACCGCGCATTGTGGGACTCGGTCCTCTCTGTTTCCTATCAAAACCGGCTTCCGCATTATCAAACCCAACTGAAGACTTAGAATTTCTCCTATTCCCTCTCTTCACCACTCTGCCATCGTACTTCTTCCCACTTTGGCCATTCACACTCAACGATTCCAGAGCATGTTTCAGATTCAAACCCTCCCCATCTGATTCCTCTGAATCGAACGACCCACTTCCCAATTTCCCCTTACCCTTAAACCCATCTCCCAATTCCTCAGCTCCTCCAAATCCTCCATCTTCAAGCTCCAAACTCTCCAATTCCTCCGGCCCAGAAATCCTTTTATACGGCCTCACACTATGAACAACCCCTTTGGGGAAAAACCTCGCGGAGGGTAAGTCCTCCATGGTATGAAACAGCTGCGGGCCGTCCCTCTCCGTCCACAAATCGAATCCACCAGGCTTCTGAAACCTATCAGCCAAGACCTTGACTTGCTCGTCGGCGTTGACAGAAAACAAGTTCGGAGCTTTCTCGACAACCTCCCACGGCCGCTCAAGCTCGGACACGGCGGCTTTGAGCTCGGCCCTCTTTCGCATCTCGTAGATTTGGCGCTCGCGGCAGAGCCGCGCCTTGAGGAGCTGCTTGGCTTTTTTCGCCTGCATGCGCTTCCACTGCCACTTGGATACGCCGCCGGGGAAGGTTCTGGGCCCGCCGCCCATCCGGATTATCATGGGTTTGGGTGTTAGAGTTAGGGATTGGAGGGAGAGGTGGGAGAGCTCCGTGTGGAGGAAGAGAGGGGTTGGGGACGTTAAGGCATTGGAGAACGAGAGGCGCTGCATTTGGGAAACGAATTAGGGATTGAGTGGAGAAATAGGGGGAAGTTGGAGAATTGAAATTAGGGTTTGCAGAGATTGGAACGGAGGAAGAAGATGGCGGGAAGTGAGGGCAGCGAAGCCACTGTGTTCCACTGTGGAGTGTGGAGTTTCCGAATGTGTGGCGGTTGGCTTTCTTAGCATTTTGGATGAGGGAGTAGGGAAACAACCCGACCCGGACCGGCTCATCTATAAATCGTAGGCTTATCTTTCGGGCCCTTAACAATCTGTGGGCCGGTAATATATTGAAATTTAGCTCACTTTTTTTCACGCACTTAATCAAATCTTGAATTACGATAATTAGGATTAAGCAGTAAAGCAAAAGAACTTTCCCCGGAAATCTCATGGGATTATAAAATTGTTGTTGTACATTCTAACATTAATTGTTGGTACATTTCGAAAAGTTATTGGTGTACTTGTCACAAAGTACTATTGACCAGTCTGATCTATGTACAATAATAAAATTGATATATAAGAAAGATATGGTAAAATTAATAAATAGATACAAATATTGATGGTGTATACGTTGGAAGTGATGAGGTTGGGTAAGGCGTAGAAATAGGCCAAGTGCAGCCGTCAGAATCTTCCAATGTTAAAAAGAAAAATTGGATACAAATATTGTAATAGTGAATTGGTAGTAACGTATCGCATCATAACGCTCACACCAAGAAATCTTGAACTTGAATGTTGAACCAAAAATCAAGAGTTTGATCTTGTGCAAAGGTGTCCAAGGTTGATCCCATATGTTCATCTCCAATAACTATTAAAATTTAGGTATATTGGTCGATTTGCCTTCGAACTTATATGAAACTAAAATTGGCAGCTCTATACAAGTTGGGAGTGCAAATCAACAAGTACCTCTAAAATTTATGCTTCCAAAATCAAATTTTTAGCATATTTTTTCCCAACTAAAATTTAGCATCTCAACTATATCAATTGTCGAACAATTGTTTTAGCCTCAATTTTTTTCTTTATCCTACAAACGGGATGTTTTTTTTCTTTATTTTTATATTTTAGTTAGTTTTTGTTGGTTTACCGTTATACTTTTGTTTATGAAAACACCTAAGGGAGAGTGTGATACGTAGAGGGATCTTTTACAAAAAAAAATAAAAGAAGCTATTATTTGGCAGTTGGATTAACAACATTTTACACTTTTCAAGTTTAAAGTGAATTTAAAATGAATCGCTAAGTTTTAATTTTTTCACATTGTATACAAAGATGATTTGAAATCATATCAAGTTATGTTTTGTCTGTTTAATCGTATGGTCTTTCGTTAAATTGAGAAAATTGCAACTGTGGAACCCGTTTCTACACTAGATAGAAGCCACACTTGCATCACCATAATTCTGAAGGTAATTATGGAATTACCTCTTAGTAGTTAATTGGTAATAATGATAAACTAACCTTCATAACGTAAAGCACCAGTGGTCTAGTGGTAGAATAGTACCCTGCCACGGTACAGACCCGGGTTCGATTCCCGGCTGGTGCACTTATTTTTTCAACCTTTTTCTAGATCCAACTTTCTTTTTTGGCACTTTTCCAACTAGGATTTCTGATCGAACAATGTTACATCGAGATTCAGCAACCAACTTAATCTGCCTGGCTCGAGAGTTGAAGCCTGGAGGCACGTGTGTTCTTGACAGTGAGGAGCCTCTGCGCACGTGAAACTGCAGCCAATCTCTTGCCCTACTAGGGTTTGACTATCACCATTCACCAGTCGATCGATGAGCTGGCTTATAAAAATGAAGGCAAGCAACCCTAAGCCAATCACACACCTTTCGTGCACAGACAGTGACTTACAATTTGACAGAAACCTTGTAATTCATATGAGACACACCGTGCTGCGGTCTCAAGTTGTCCAAAACAGTTGTTTCCTGCTGCATGACGATCGAACACATCTTCCTAATCTAAATTTTTAATCACTAAACAAGTACTTGATTTCATAAAAACTAAATTAAAATATTGCACGAGAAGTTACGCAGCAACAGAGAGTAGGTGCTTAAAATATCATGAAACCCTAGCGCTGTGTCTCTGATTTCCCAAACACTACCACAATCCAGGCTTGTAGATTCCATGCTGCTGCTATTATTTATCACCAACTCTATCGAAAGAGTTCTTATATACAAACAGACCAAGATATACGATCGATGTACATATTTAGTAGACATGCTTATATTCCTAGCTAGATCATGAAAATGCACCCCCGGCTGTATGATCGAACCATTCGAAGCGACCATTATCTTATACGTTCATAATTCCAGAAAGCAAAACTCAATGCATGAATGCTTGAACATGGCAGTCATAGTGTTAATAGCATGTAACCATGTTCTATTCAAGAGTGAGAATTCCGACGTTCTTAAGATGTTCACAGAAGATGCAACCTTGTACTAATTTCTTGGAGACCATGTTGATGTACAAATTAATTACTTATTTAATCCATTTTGGAGTTGTTATTTAAAAGTAATTTTACCAATCTGTTGACGCTTGGTGGCTGGGACTAGATCAAATTTGAATTTCAATTTGTCGATATGTAAGACACAATGTGTTGAACTGTTGTCTAATTTAATAAGTATACACAATCTCAGTATTTATTATAAATTTACTAAATTGGTCATGTCCAAACTTATTTGATATAGTTCAATCCTAAATGAGTCATCAAACAATCTCAATGCAATTCAATGTGTACGAAACAAGATATATTGAAGAAATTAGAGAATGGTGTCATCTAGTAAGTTGCTACCTAGACCTATTGCTAAGGGCATGGTCACTGGTCACCATATGAGCTGTTGCCATCCCAAGCAATATATTGATACGATCGATATTAAAAAACACCGACCAAAATTTATATAGCTACTTCTGACCATCTTCCAATCTTTAGTTATGGATCTATGGGAACCAGAGCTTTCCATTTAATTTATTTTTCTTCTGTTCGTAAGTTATAATATCAAATTATTTGCATGTACAACTTGACAAATAAACATGTTACTCATCTTGTTCCCTTGATTCAAATATTAGTTGTATTTCCGATATTCTAATGATTACACGTGTAATCTTCTTGCATTTCCCCCCACAGACAACCCCATTAATTCAAAGTACAGGAACGAATAGATTATTCCTAGAATCCGACAATTCGAACTTTCCATCTAATTATAGGGTCTGCATGCACTCTTCTGCTCACATGCAAACCCCTATATAATATATATATTGCTCTCAAAGAATCCCTCTATTCATCCTCCTCATCCACTCCAAACATCCAACACCCATTTTCATAAGTTTTCTCAGGAGAAAAAAAAAAACAATCCATTTCGTAAAAAAGATGGCTCAATCTCAATGGCTTCTCCTTTGCTTGATCTCAGCAGCTGCTTATGTGAGTGTAACCATGGCTGATGAAAATGCTCATCAAACCCTAGGGCAGTCTCCTTCAGCTTCAATCGCAAGCACCCCAGCTCCAAGTCCATCTCCACCTGTAATTAGGAAACTGGGAATGCACAACCCTAGTAAGGCCAACTCCAAGTCTTCTGACGCACCAGCTTTAAGCCCGAGCAGTGCACCTGCAGCTTCCACAAGTGAAGCGCCGGAGACTGAAGAGAGTCTGAGCATCCCAGAGCAAGAGATCCACCTCAAAAAGCACCACCATTCGACGGATAAGTCGGTTGCCGGTGGCGGTGTGATCCTCGGAGGACTTGCCACCACCTTTTTGGTTGCAGTTTTCAGTTACATTAGAGCCACTGCAAGACATAAAGCTTCAGCGACTAGTACTACTGGTTCTCAAATTGCGTAGTTCTGTCGTATGTATGTTAATGGGTGTGTTAATTATGCGGCTGTAAAGAAATTAATACGAAGTAAAATATGATATTGAAGTATGAAGATAGCAGAATGTATGAAGTTTTAGAAGAACAGAAAGTTATATGAAAATATTGAGAGAAAATGATAGATGTAAAATGTATTTGATTTTCCTTACTATGTTGTTTTACAATTCACACTTACATAAGTGTTTCCAAAACTCAATCTTACAAAGTAAGTAACCTCCTTTTAACTACCTCCTTATGTCAACCAACTATCTCCTTATTCCAACTAACTATATCTCTAACCACTAAGATTCCAACTAACATACCAACCTTTATAGTCTCTTGACAAGTGGCATTAGTTACCCACTGATATCCTTTTCACTTAGACCACTATTTTCCACTTCATTCTTCTTACATCCCCCCTCAATCTGATGCTCGAGAGCACTGAGCATTAGATTGGCACAATGCTGCTAAAACAAGGGTGTAGACAAACCCTTTGTAAGTATGTCTGCAGACTGATCAGCAGATGAAACATGCTGAACCTGAAGATCGCCACGAGTGACCCTCTCCCGAACAAAATGATAATCTATTTCAATGTGTTTGGACTTAGCATGGAACACAGGATTTGTAGAGAGGGCAATAGCAGATATATTATCACAATAGATCATGGGAGAAAAAGGTAAAGAGATATGCATATCACAGAAGAGCTGTCGAATCCAAGCAAGTTCAGCAGCTGTAATAGCAAGGGCACGGTACTCAGCTTCTGTGGAAGATCGAGACACAGTATGTTGTTTCTTCGATGCCCACGAAATAGGATTTGAACCAAGAAACACAACAAAACCTGAAGTGGATCTCCTATCGTTTGGATCACCTGCCCAATCTGCATCACTATAAGATTGCAGATGCATGGGACCTGGTTTGAAGTGAATACCATAGGTAGATGTGCCTTTGAGATAACGAAGAATTCGCTTGACAGCAAAGACATGAGAAACCATAGGATTATGCATGAATTGACAAGCCTGATTAACTGCAAATGCTATGTCAGGTCTTGTGAACATGAGATACTGAAGTGCACCAACAACACTCCTATATTGTTCAGGACTGTGATAAGGCTGTCCATCATCCTTAATCAACCTATGATAGGGTAGACATGGTGTGCTACATGTTTTAGAATCCTGTAAATCCACTTTATCAACCAACTCAGTGATGTATTTTGTCTGTGATACAAATAAGCCTTCGGATGTATAAGTAATCTGCAATCCCAGAAATTAATGCAACCGTCCCAAGTCCTTCATTTCAAATTCTTGAGTGAGAGCGTGGATGACTTGATCGATTAATTGTGAACTGCTACCAGTGAGAATAACATCATCAACATATAAGAGTAATAACATTGTCCCATGTGAAGACTGTTGCACAAATAATGAAGGATCTGCAGGAGAGACTTGAAACCCGAGACTTGGTAAAAAACTGGTAAACCTCTCATTCCAGGCTCTGGGAGCCTGTTTTAATCCATATAATGACTTCTGGAGCTTACACACATAATCGGAAGGATGTGAGGCACTTGCAAAGCCTGGAGGTTGGGCCATATAAACCTCCTCTTGAAGTATGCCATGTAAGAAGGCATTCTTTACATCGAGCTGTCTAAGAGACCACTTGAATTGAGCAGCCAAAGAAAAAATAAGTCTTATAGTTGTAGGTTTAACAACAGGACTGAATGTCTCTAGGTAATCAACACCCTCCTCTTGACTATACCATTGGGCCACAAGTCGAGCCTTATACCTTGCCACTGACCCATCTGCATGTTTCTTTATTTTGTAAATCCATTTGCAACCAACTAAGTTCTTATCAGGTGTTAATGGAACTAAAGACCAAGTCTTTTGAGAGTGAAGAACATCTATTTCCTCTTACATTGCCACCTACCATTCTAAAACTTGAGATGCAGATTTGAATGTTTTGGGTTCTGAAGTAGTAGTAGCAGTAAAAGCTTTCTTTTTGAACACCCCATTCTTAGATCGGGTTTGCATAGGATGTATATTCATAGGTATGGGGAGAACAACACTTAGTTGCTCCTGTTGAAAGTCATGATCCACAGGGAAAGGGTGTTGTGTTGTGGAGCTGGTTAGGTGGACTGCAAGATCACACGATATATGTGATGAAGGAATATGATTTGTGGGATAAGAAAAACATTCTGGAGCACTAGATGCAACTGTTTCCAAGGAATCTGAGGCTCTGGATGCAGACAATGAATCTGAGGCACTAGATGAATGCATAGACAAGGAGTGTGTAGTTCGATATGATAATGAATGAGATGAAGGTGTAGATGCTTGATTGGTTAATGGAATGATAGGTGTGACAGATGAGGAATGGATGTGAGCATGGGATTCATTCAATGGAGATGAGGCATACACTAATTTTGATGGTTGACACATACTGGAAGTGGAATATGGAAAGCTATTTTCATCAAATAATACATGCCTAGACACAAGAATTTTACCAGTTGCAATATTAAGACAAATAAACCCCTTATATTGACCTGCATATCCTAGAAACACACAAGTTGCAGTTTTAGGATGAAGTTTATAAGTGTTGTAAGGTTTTAAGAGTGGAAAACATGCACAGCCAAAAACTCTGAGATGTTTTATATCGGGGACTTTGTTATATAGTTTTTGAAAAGGTGACTGCATATGTAAAGTAGCACAAGGCATCCTATTAATCAAATAAGAAGCAGTACTACATGCATGAAACCAGAATTGGGTTGACACTTTTGCAGTTTGAAGAAGTGTAATTGCTGTTTCTACAATGTGTCTATGTTTTCGTTCTGCCAATCCATTCTGTTCAGGTGTGTAAGGACAAGATTTTTGATGTAAAATACCATTATGTGATAGATATTGTTGAAACTTAGTGCTTGTAAATTCACCACCCCCATCAGATTGAAAACTTTAACTATAGCAGAGAATTGGGTACACAAATAGGCATGAAAATGAACAAAGGTTGCAAACACTTCTGATTTATTTCGTAATGGAAAAATCCATGTGTATCGAGTACAATTATCTATGAAGGTTACATAATATCTAAAACCTTCATAAGAAAGTAAATGGGCAGGTCCCCATACATCACTGTGTATTTTTTCCAATGGTATGACATATTTGTGTACAGGAAAATCAAATGGTAACTTGGTAAATTTGCCCTCTGAACATGGTGTGCAGATCGATGAACATGGATCTAATGATGTAGAAACTTGACATTGATGTAGAATTGCAGAAGTGATTGCATTGGATGTGTGTCCTAGTCGTTTGTGCCAAATGCTGGACTGAATTGGTTTTGCAAGAAAGCATGAATGTAATGCAGGTGGGATAGATGATGTCTTCTATGAAATGTTGAATGGTATAGGGTAATAACCAGCTCTACATAGCCCCTTGAATAGGATCTTCCCTGTGGATTTGTCCTGAATCCAAAAAGAAACATCATCACAAATGAATCTGCATCTATTATCTTTGCAGAGTTGATAGATAGATAACAGGTGTTGTGAAAGTTTTGGAACATGTAGAACATTCCGAAGTGTAAGAGAGTGTTGTGGAACTACTAATTTAGAAGTACCAATACTGGAAATACTTAAACCTGCACCACTTGCAGTGGTAATGGTGTCTGTGCCCTGATATGGAGTAGACAGCTCCAATTTTGCCAACTCAGATGTCATATGTGATGTAGCACCAGTGTGCAATCCAAAACTGTTCAGATGGTGCTGAAGGTTGATAGTTGGCATGCATTGAAGAGAGATTAGCAGTTGGAGGCCTTCCTTGATACACAATTGCTCCTGTGATAACATTGAACTGCTGTGTGCCCGTATTTCCAGCAAACTTGACATTGAGTAGGAGTAGGAGCACTCGAGGGTGGAGTAGTATGCCTTTGAAAACAGTCTGCAGCAACATGGCCCTTTTTATTGCATATTTGACAAATAGGAATGTCAATTGGATGATCTGGACAATGGGATTGGTATGGTTTGGGAGTACCAAGAATACCAGGATTACCATTTGAAAATCTTGGACCACTAGTATATTGAAATCTTCCCCTGCCTTTGCCTCTGAAATTATTCCCTTTATTGCCTCCATAGGTAGAATAACCACCATTGAAATTGTTATATGGCCCATGTCCATGACCATGATTAACAGAACTTGATCCTCCATTTGACTTGAAGGATTGATCAGAAGAAGACCTTGGTTGATCTTGATCGAGAGCAAGAGTTTTTCCTTTATCGGATTGAGTGCTAGCAACCATGGCACTGCCAAAAGACAACCCAGAGGTACTGTCAAAAGATTTCTCAATGATAGCTTTTTCGGCCAATAATTGAGACCGAAAATCTTTTAGAGAAATCCCATTTTCTCTTCCTCTGATCACACATCGAAATGTGTTGAAATCTGCAGATAAACCTTTCAACGCTAGGATGATAATATCATCATCATCAAAATTTACCCCAGCGGCAGCAAGATGATCTCTGGCATCTTTGATTTTTTGAAGATAAACCGACACAGATTCTGACCCTTTCTTGATGTTATGAAGTTCTGTCTTCATCTGAAAGATTGTAGCCTTCGTAACAGCAGAAAACCTTTCGGTGAGATTGAGCCACATCTCACAAGAACTCTTACTCCCAATGATGCAGGACATGGCAGTCGAAGATAGTGTAGCAATAAAAAACTGCATTAATGCACAATCGTGCATCTTCCAAACCAGGTAGTCATCGTTTTCGACTCCTTCAGCATTCGAAGCATTATCAAAACGTGATGGACACTTTCTTGAACCATCCACAAATCCCATGATTCCATGACTTTCCAGAAGCAACCGAACCTGAAAACTCCAAGTAAGATAATTGGAGTCATCCAATTTCACTATGACTGAAGTGGAGATTGTGGAGAGAAGATTGGTGATGGGTGACTGAATAATCTGCAACTGAGCAGCTGTAACCATTTTCGCAAATTCTTGAAGCACACTTTCACTGATGCGTTTAATCAAACAGTTGGTGGGCAGACGAAAAGAAACCAACTGTCGAAGCACCTTGTATATTTCCGGATGCCAAAACTCACACAAATATTCAAACTAGAGGGTGTAGAAGAGAAGAAAATGTGATGAAGATTGAGCG